CAAGAAAAAACATATAGTTATCCTCTTGGCTAAGGGAAGTAGATAAAATTGCCGGGGAGAAAATTGGGATCTTGGGGGTGGGGTGGGTTGGGGATAAGGGGGGACGGGGAGAGAAAAGTGAGAAGGGGAGGTTTGGGGGATCTTGGGGAAACAGGAAGATTGGGATAAAGGAAGGTTGGATAGGAGAACAGGGAAGCACATATCTTAGTTAAGGGAGCCACCTTAGTGTTGGCAAGAGCCTTGAACCTAGAGTGGCTCCCAGGAGCCCAAGGCGATGTCCCCAGTTAGTCCCTTTTAAACTATTTCTTATGTTGGTGAATTTATTTATTTGACAAAAAGAAATGTATGAAACACCTAACTAATATTTGTTGATGAACCGCTTGAAAGGCTTAGGGTGCAGTGATCGCCGCTGAGGAGTTTATAGCCTAGTGAGGGAATGAATAAATAAATAAGAACATAAGGGCTTAGTATCCCAGTGTGGTAAGTGCAGTAAAAGCGTGGGAGGTGGAGAACGACAGCAGAGCATCAGGGCAAGTCCTGCCTGTGTGTGGGGGGGGACTAGAGGAGGGGTGCTAGTGTATAAGGGCTGAGTCATGTGACATTCAGGGAGCAGCTTTCTATGCAGAAAGAAAACGGGATAAACTCTTAGGTTAAGGAGGAGCTTTACATGCTGCAGGAATCAGCAAGAAGGCAGTTTGCTTCCAGAAGAACGAAGAACCAACTCTTGTTCTCCTGGAGCTTTCATTGTGCTATGTGGACACAGACCCACAAAAGGATAAACCATCACGTAGAGACGCGCCTGGTGGCAAGAGCGGCTGTGGAAGGGGTGGGTCTGGAGGAGAGAGAATGTGTGCTAGTTCAGTGTCATAGCCAGATGGGGAGTGCAAAGGCCTAGAGAAGCTGAGAGACAAGCAGAGAGACTCGGGAGTAGCGAGTAGCGAGCATGGGGGACGCTGGGGGCAGATTAGGTTCCGTGCCTCGCCAGGGACAGTTAGGCAGGAGGCTTTCGTGCGTTTGGATTTATCCTCAGTGAGATGGGGTGCTGGTGCGCAGTTTTGCCTATCCAGCATCCATCTTTATATCTGGATTTCTAAATTAGTTCAAGAACAACTCTGAATCCATAGTTAAAACAAACATTGTGGAGAAGCATGTCAAACCCAAGCTCAAACCTTCTGCATCATGGTAGCAGGGTTGAACATCTCGGGTGGAAAAGGCTTGATTACATAATATAATCCATAAAAGCCATTTTGATAGCTTTTGTTTCCTAAATCCACAGCAAGGCAAGACGTGAAACAGCCCAGAAAACAGAAGAAGACAAGAAGATTGAAGGGGAAAAGGAAATGGTATAATTGCAGAGACACAGGAGCTAGAGCCGGCAGAAATGATGAAAGCTGTGGGCGTGAGTGACAGAAGAGACCCCTTAAAGAGGGACCAGAAATCAGTTCCATAGCTCACGTGCTCTGGAGGTCTGGAAACTGTGTGGCTGCTTGCAGAGAGACTACTGACCGGTGAGGATGATGGCACACAATGTCACCTCTACTTCAGTTCCCGCCTCCAGGTTTCTACCCGGCTCGAGTCCCTGTCCTGCTCCCCTCAGCGATGGACTGAGATGGGGAACTGTAAACTGAAATAAACCCTTTCCTCGCCAGGTTGCTTTTTGTCATGTTTATCACAGCAGTAAACAAAGGCAAAGGGTGCTTATGATTAAAGTATGTGATATGCTTGTGTGAGTGTGAAAATATCTTTATGAAACCCATAACTATGTGCAGTGAAAACACACATAAACATGTGTATGCACGTGTGTGTGCACACACGCACACAAATACACACACCGAGGCCAACAGGGTAACATGCTCTTCCCCTCACATATCTAAGCTGGAACCAGGGCTGGAGAGGCAGTGACATTCAGCCCTAGCCAATCTCAGCCAATAGCACAGCGATTAAACAGACTGCACCTCACCAGAAAGAAAAACAGCAAGGGACTGAACATAATTTGAAATCTATATGATAACAGCAACTATAACTTTAATATTTAAGATGTCATGTTCTGAACTAAATGCTTTACATACACTGGCTCACTCAATCGTTAAAACTATAAAATATGACCTGGCAGTGGTTGTGCACGCCTCTAATCCCAGCACGTGGGGCGCAGAGGCAGACGGATCTCAGTGAGTTCAAGGCCAGCCTGGTCTACAAAGCGAGTTCCAGGACAGCCAGGACCCTGTCTCGAAAAACCAAACCAAACCAAAAAACTAAACAGAACAAAACCAACAAAATTTTTTTTAGGAGCTGGAGAGGTGGCTCAGTGGTTAAGAGCATTGCCTGCTCTTCCAAAGGTCCTGAGTTCAATTCCCAGCAACCACATGGTGGCTCATAACCATCTGTAAAGAGGTCTGGCGCCCTCTTCTGGCCTTCAGGCATACACACAAACAGAATATTGTATACATAATAAATAAGTAAATATAAAATTTTTTTTAAAAGCCTATAATTGCTATTGTTTTCTCTCCTATGCAGAAAACAAAATTAAGCCTCAGAAACATTAAATATCAGGTTGAAGAATCATCAAACTAGAAAGAAATAGAACTGAAAACGTACTTGCAATACCTTACTGTGCTCATTGGTCTCTTGGTCAGTTTGTATCACTGTGTTATCCCTGGAGAGACAAAAGTTTCCACATTGGTGTGTTTCTCATTACCCCATCCACACCACAGGTTGGGACAAGTATCAGAAATATGATCATGGAGCAAGGCCAGGAGATCATGAACCCTAAAATATATCTCCTTGCTTGCTCGTGCATGAAGAGATTTGTAGGTAACAAATTAATGAGTGGTGTGGTTTGAATGAGAACAGCCCCCTGAAGTGCACATATTTGAATTCTTGGTGTAACTGAGAAAGATGAGGTGAGGCCTCGTGGGAGGATGTGTGCACTGGGAGTGGGTTTTGAGAACTTAAAAGCCCATGTCAATCCCACCTAGTTCCCAGTTCTTTTTCTCTCATGTCTGTAGATCAGATGTAAGCTCTTAGCTACTGCTCCAACACCATGTCTGCTTGCCTGCTACCAAGCTTCTCCCCATGATGGTCACAAACTAACCCTCTGGCCGGGCAGTGGTGGCACACGCCTTTAATCCTAGCACTCGGGAGGGAGGCAGAGGCAGGCGGATCTCTGAGAGTTCGAGGCCGGCCTGGTCTACAAGAGCTAGTTCCGGGACAAGCACCAAAGCTACAAAGAAACCCTGTCTCGAAAAACCAAAAAACAAACAAACAAACAAACAAACAAACAAACAAACTAACTAACTAACCCTCTGAAACAGCATGAAAGCCTCAATTAAATGCTTCCTTCTGTAAGTAGCCTGGTCACATTGCCTCCTCATGGAAGCAGAACAGTAACTAGACATCTGGTTTCATACGTGAGGCTGCTGAGGTGGTTCAGTAGTCCTCTGCAGAAGACCTCGATTTGGTTCCTAGCACTATCATGGCTCACAGCCTTCTGTAACTCCAGCTCCAGGGATTCTGATGCCTGCCTTCTCCTGGCCTCTTTGGGTACCAGTTGTACACGTGGCACACATACCTACATGCACACAAGACATTCACTTACATAAATCTTAAATTTAAAACACAAAACAAAACAAAAACAAATTTGAACCCAACTAGACCCAGGTAAGTTTCCAGCATCTTTTCCAAGGAAGATTGTTTACATTTCTGAGAAAATTATTTGCCCTTCTGAATACCAGTTATAGTCCTACCTCGTTGGGCCAGAAATGCCTGGATTAAAGTGAGAACGTGGGTGGGGTGCACAGGAAGAAGAAGAAGAAGAAGAAGAAGAAGAAGAAGAAGAAGAAGAAGAAGAAGAAGAGGAGGAGGAGGAGGAGGAGGAGGAGGAGGAGGNGGAGGAGGAGGAGGAGGAGGAGGAGGACGGGGAAGGGGAAGGGGAAGGGGAAGCGGGAAGCGGGAAGCGGGAAGAATGGAAGGGATGTAAATACAGCGCGAATGGGTGGAATTATGAAAAACAATCATTGGTATGAAAAATGAGATCAACAGTCTGAAAGTGCCAGGCCTGTAGGAAATGCTCAGGAACATAAGTCAAAGGAGAGAAAACAAAGTAGATGGTATAACATTGATTCCTCACAGACAACTTCAGATTTCCCTACTTTTCTCTGCTTGTACTCGGATCCAGAATATAGCTTATGGCTCTGGACTTGAGGAAATCTCTAACAATTTCTTTCCTCTCTGGCAAGCTCAAGCACTTCCTCGGGGGCAAGATGGGAGAAACCCGGACCTTGAGCACAGAACCCTCTGAGTTCTCAACAGGACTTGTTTTCAAAATCTAGCGATAGCAAATTTAAATATTGATTTGCTGTTTTTTTGACAGAAGCACAGGGGACTTCCATTATTTGGGGAAAATTCTAATAAAATTTCAATAAGTAAAATTAGTAATTTTCCAAAAAGAGTAGTAATGAAAAAAATAATCCCTCCTCAATACAATAATTTCTAAATAAAAGTAATGTTAGCAGCAGGGTGTATACATATAGACATAAATTGTGAAAGGGAGTCTGGTCCTCTCTAAGGATTTTTTTTTAAATTGGAACCTCAGCTTTTTAATAAAACTGATCATCTCAACTGAGCATCTTTATATTGAGGACTGACGATATAAGGACAGTTTACTAGTTGCCTACAGAATTAAAAGACACAGTCTGCCTCTGTGATATAAGGAAGAATATTGATATATTGTGAGAATTAATGTAAATTTAAGTAGTAGCTAGTGATAACTATAAAAGTGGGAGAAATGCCATTTGGCAGCTCATTAAGGCATTCCCAAGTAAATGATAACAGTAATAAGTATACAAGTTAATTTGATAATAATGAGTATATGGATCTATGGGGAAGGACACTATGAAGAGATGATGTTTCTCATGACATAACAAGACACATGTATTCATTTGTTGGATGTTGATTGAGCACCATATATGGCAGGTACCCAGAGAGCAAAGCACTATATATGTCTGCATGTAGACTATAATGAAATGGTGCAGTACATAATATACTACTGTCTCTGATGATCCTGCAATAAAGATATGATAGAAAATAGGTTCCTACTCATGTGGTTTGTACTAGAAAAAGAACACGAGAATACTAATAGGCAAGGAAAGAATTAGGCACTTTTACAGTGATAATGGTTAGGAAGCCAATAAAGTGAAGCAACAAGAAATTGATGTGGGGTGGAGGATGGGCACAGTATCATAAAGAATGATTGGAGAAAGTCTCTCTAAAGAAAGTACCAATTACGAAAAGACATCAAAGATGAGTGTTGGGAAGCTTCTGTTTGGGAACACTGTTTAGTGGCTTGCTCCCCATGGCTGGCTTAGCTTGCTTGCTTGCACAGCCCAGGACCGCCTGCCTGGGAGTGGCATCACCCATATCTGGCTGAACCCTTTCACACCAATCATTAACCAAGACAATGCACACACGGATGTGCTCACAGACCAGTCTGATGGAGGTAATTCCTCAATGGAGGTTCCCTCTGCCCTGTGACCCCAGTTTGTGCCAAGATGACAAAAGCTAATCAGAAAACTAAGATCTAAAATGTTATCTCAACATTGTGATATAAAACTTTGATGAGGTTTTTGCACTATTCTATAATGTCTTCAAATTCTAATGTTTGTTTTATATTTACAAACCTGCCTCACTCAGACTAAACACAAGTGGGCAGAGACAACCATGTAGTTCCAGATATTATTTCTGTTGACTTTTGACAGCAAGAGATTCAACCTGCTTTGCTCTGTTGAGCAAAAGTACTACGTTAGTACCTTGTCCTGGCTCTGCTAAGACTTCCTGATTCTTGACATTTTCAAACCTGTAACTACTGAATTGCTGATTCCAGAAAGGCATGCTTCCCCCTCCTCTCTCAACCCTGTTTTCCATCTAACACCATCCTGATGTTACATATTTGGTGTGGCACTCAGTGATTATTTAGACTTCTCGGCATTAGAAGTGAATTCCATTTTCTAGGAAAGAACGGAAGAAGATCCTGAATTCTCCACAGCATATTTAAAGCTACATGTGGAAACCAGCTGTTCGAAATGAAAGACTTGTCTAGTTATTACATCTACTCCTGGCTATTTACTTCTTGCTGCCAGAGGACACAGAAGAAAACCATTTTTGAATATGAGAAAGGAAATACTATCTTGGTCTTTCTCTTTAGTTTTTAGTGAAAAAAATTAATAATCTTTGCCACAAGTCAATGCTTGATTCATTGTTTCAAGTAGACTGGGGACAATGCCATGTGCCCAGGAAGATAGAGTCAGAGAGAAGCACAGGGGTGGATTTCTGAGGTCACCTCGCCCTCTCCTCCCCAACAGCTTTTTAACTTTTCTATTTTACTTTTGAGGACGAACTGCAAGTGTATTCTCACAGGCTGAATCTGACATTGAAGCTACGTCTGGTTGGCTCATGGGGTGCTAAAAATTCTTTTGAGTAAAGGCTTTGAAATTGGGAACTTTCCTTGATGCAAACTTCCAACTCTCTAGTTTCGTATAAAAATCATAGATTGACCCATGCTGAGAGCTCTCCTTCTGTTGTACCCTGTGGCTAAGGTGGCCTTCAGAAAGGCTAAATATTTTCTATTGGGATACAGCTAATTCCCCATGGCCTATTTATTCTATATAGTAGATATGTCTGCTCTTATCTGGACATTGGAGCTTTGTAAAGCTCCATAACACAGTGTAACTCTCTGTCCTTGGTCTTCTCTCAGTTTCTAGGGCCAGGAATCTC